GTCCAAGGTTCCCAATACACCTCGATGCCCAATGGAGCCGGTGACCATTGGCACAACCGGAAAGGTATGGATGTGGTTCGTACGCCTCCTCTTGGTTGGTTTGCAATCAGGGTTTTTGGCCAACTCTCCTAGGTGCACTGCCAGTCGTTCACCAACCCGATTATAGCCCCGGATATCGGCTTTTCGTCCTCTGACTTCCGTGCAAAAACAACACTTGATAGCAGTGAAGTCGAGTATTTGCAATGATTCAGCGAAGAACTGGCAATCACATCGAATTCAGATAAGTGGGCTTCGCTAGATTGAACACGCATTGTTCATGCCCGACTATCATCTCCTGGAAAGCGCCTTAGTGGCATCTGCTGCTCCAGGTTGAAGAAAATCTCATCGTATTCACCAGATGACGTGGATACGAGGCGTGAAGAAATGCACACAAAGATTAGTAAGATGTCTAGTCTTTTAGACTCTGTAACTGGTTGGTTGGAGACATTAAAGGATATGGAGAATCACGGACAGAAGTGGCGCTCTTTTCACTTCTTATCAGGTCAGAAAGTTTCAAAGTGTATATGCATAGTTAGGTCGTGTACGCTGTGTTCACTTTCTTCGCCGTCCTCCAATTGGGTATAATCCCTATTTGTTTTGTACTGTCTTTGTATACACTGTGAGTTTAGCAGCGATCAGTGAAGTTCGCCTCACAGTATCTTGCTGTGCGACTATGTAAAACGTTTTTTTACTTCCTTTTTTTAATCATTGAACTGTACAGTCAACATTCAGGAAGGGGGGCCGCGGCCATACGAAGGCTGCCTGGGAAGACGGGCGGCGGTGGAACGGCTTAAACCCCGGTCACAAGTTGTTGACCTAACCACTTGGCCAACGCTGCTTTATGATGACTGATTTACTGAGCGATGCCACTGCGCGTATCTCAATGTCATAAGCTATACCACCATTTCTACAAACCAAGATGTAGTGCAGAACGCAATCTTCGATCTTACTCATCAAAATTTGTCAAAATTCTGTCTAGTTTCGATCACAAAATTGAAGACGACAAAGCAGTTGGTGGTACATGTCACAACAATGTCTAGATAACTAGATATCAATGAACAGGTCAAAGGTTTTCGGCAGGTATGTATGTGCCACGTTCAAAGATGGACAGTCAGACGACAACCAAATGCCAATGTGAGGGTAGTTTAACAAAGTACCACAAACCTTGCGTGGTTTGTTGCACTGATCTCAATGACCTCAAGTGGAAAACAAAGCAGCATAAAATTTAAAAGCAAATAATAAACCAAGACCTTGCCTGTTGTTCCGTGACCGNATCATAACGGACACGTTTCGCCGAATTGCCATCATTTTTAGCAGCACAAGATTCATTGTCCAAACGCAACCACACAGACTCCAGCTGTTCATCTCGTTTAGCTTTAGCCTCCGCGGCGTGGATGACCTCGAGTGGTAGACCAGCAAGGCGAGCAACATCCAAACCGTAACTCCGATTGCAAACACCTGATGGAAAACCAAACAACTGAGAATTAACTTCAGATGCATTTTAAAGTGTTTGGTGCAATGCTGAAAATTCATGTGTGTGAACTAAAATCAGCAATCTGCCGATTTAGAAACAGAATGCAAGAAGGGAAATGAATGGCTCGGCTTGGATCAGGTAGGAGATAGGTTACGGCCAGTGGTACTCTGGTCGATAGAACAACGGAACGCTATCAGGAGTGCTTCCATGTGTCCACAACCGCAAATAAGAGTAACAGCACTAGACTCAGCGATCGGGGGTGAGTAGCGATGTTTCTCGAGGGTCTGATGGATTGCGCCTTTCAACAAAATCTCTATAAGTAGGTCAAAGAAGTTCGGCGACAGCAACGTGATGTGCACCAATGGGACCCGGAGTACACAACAACTGCGAACTCTATCACAGAGGAGTTACTCTAGTTTTCAGTGTTTCGCTCGTTATCGTCAGTGGATTCGAATCGCATAGAATCCAATATCTTCTGGGATTTCTCTGTTGCGTCTTCCATTCTTCACCTAGGAAAAATCAACACAGGCATCTAAAGAGATAGCAAAAGATGACTGCTATGATAAGCTACAGTAGGCAGTGGATAGCGCGCTAACACGGGCTTGAACGCCAGCTTTGGGTTAGCAATTCAGGCAACCAGAAACACCCCCAGAAATATGGCTTTGGTAATGGTGAGCGCCTCAACAGCTTTGCAAACTTCAATAGTCTGCTCATCTTCAGCACTCCATAAGACATCAACATACTACAACGACGATGGCACTGCGCACCGAGTCGAGTAAATATTAATATGATCACTCTGAGCATCATCGGTTGAACACTGTCGGTCCTAACGTGGTGCGAAGATGAAGCATAAAAAAAATAAAGCGGTAACGAGCCCACCATTGACTGAAAACAGCTTAAGGGACCTCAATCAACCGAATCTGAAAAACGGAACAATGTTGCTGAATATGGATCACCTGACAAAAAGGGCAAGCGGTTTCAAACGTCATCAAATCCCGTCTAGCAACTAGACCCACAAGAGGCGAAGAAATATCGGTGGATTACACTGAGCTTATATATATCAAGCAATCGAATTTCGCACGACGGCGATCCAAAGACAGGATATCGAGGACCATTAATCAGTTCTTTGAGCGGGCATTAACACGTTTTTGCTACCTCGAAGGCACTCTGGGCATGGAACGCGATCATTCCTCGAACCGAAGTCCCAGACTTTTGAACCACTGCTCCCCGAAAATGGCCCATAGTTGCAAAACATGGTCATTATGCATCGAGAATGTTAAAATGTCTTAAGAACTTGACAACCAGTGTACTCGATATATCCTCAAATTGAAATAATATGATAAGCTGTTTGAGTTGAGGAAGACTGCGCATAGTAATTCAACGCGAACATTTGCAGTGGTTTGGTTACATTCTCCGAAGATCCTTTGCAGAAATTTCTCCTGCACGTGGTCAGGTTGGTGCATTCAACTTAGAGAAAGATAGAAAACGTAGGCCAGCATTATCAAATCGGACGTTGCCCTACGTCAACTCCTTACGGTTCTCAATCATAATTTCTGGGGGGTTAGCGGCATGAACAGTAACAGGTCACAGTTCAGTATCATCAAGGACAGCTGGTTAACAGCAATAGAAATTGATATGAACCGAATGACTGAGAACAGCTCAAGAGGAGCGAAAACCAGACAAATAAATGAAGAAAATGAGTAAAGCCGTCTGGTTAAGAAGAGTGGATAGGAATATTCAACGATTTTGAAGAGAATACCAATGACAGACAGAATGTCCAGTTGTTTCGCCTGACAATGAAGCCCGAGTGGGATGAATGCAGATGAAACCTCTACTCGTCCTCACATTCGTTTTATTCGACTTATCATCCCACAACTGAATCAACCGAAATACAAAACGAAAAAAAAAACAGATCGATGGTACAGCCACTTGGTTATGGTCATTTCAGACGACAGTTAAAAACAAAAAAGGAGTAATGGATAAATCGATCATACCTGGTTCTACCTTGTACAGCATGACAACATTTGGAGCGTCCGTGGTGTTATCCGTTGATTGACCAACACTGGCCATGACACGCAGATTCGACACACGACCCGGCATGTGCTGAGCTAGACTCGTNGGCGAACAAACTGAAGCAGCCTATCTCCGGTCCGGCCAGATGTGAGGCCACAGCCCATGCCAGTCCGAAACCGTCATACGTGGACGTACCACGACCCAGTTCATCAATAATAACCAATGAATTTTCGGTCGCTGCCTAAAAAGGGAGTCGGGATGTGCACAGAGAATAAAAAAGCAGATCAAGATAAGAAACAGCGGAATGTTTAATCTGAAAAGCACACTTAGGGCGTGAGTCAGCATTGAAAACCAAAGTGAACATTTATCTCTAGGTATGCATAAACACAGTTGATGCACGATTTGACGCCAGTTACTGAGCCAATTTTGTGGAATTCTAAATGTAAAAAAGCACTAGGGGAAGTGAACCGTAGCCGATAAAATCTCTGATCGTCGTGACATCGGATTACCTTTCGTAACAATTACTGTGACACCAATAATTAACCATAACATCCGCCTTTGGTGTCACTTTGATATCCCAGCCCTATGACTGGTTTTCAACGCATTTTAAATAGCACTGTCGCTGTATCAACATCGCATTCCTCCTCTACGAATTCGAAGAGAGTGTCTTCCTCGCATGGTTGTCTTTGTCGCGTCGGACTGATTGTTCTGTCTCGATCGGGTTATCTCGGATTTGAAGTATGCCGTTTTATTTTCAATAATTCATGATTGATCATGTACACGGGAATTTCCCAGCCCTGTGTTCGTGAGGATAAACTGAAATATCAAGAGGCGGTAGCAGAGATTCATTTATAACTCTCAGCTGTTGTATAAGCACGTCTACTCAATTCGGAAAGTGAAGCTTGTCATACCGGTCATACAGCATTGGAAGAGTTACAGCCATTCTAGCGGAAGCAGCTGAAATGCTGAAAACTCAGTATCCGAACGTCTTCGCAGTACTGCAGGTTGAAGGTCTACAGCTACCTCCCCGGTTGCAACATCTTCCATATTCTTCACTCACCTACGAATCACTTATTGTTGAAAACGTTGAAAACTAATGGCTTTGCGAAAAAATGCAACCCCAGGTGCGCACAATATACACCCGAAATCCGAGCTTTTCGGCGAATCACATTTCCGAATCGCTAGCCATTCGCTTCCAACGAATATTCAACCAAGCAACACTCCCAGAATCGTGGAAACAAGGAGTTATTTCGCCCATATACAAAGGTGGTTGTTGTGGTGACCCCGCTAACTACCAACCTTTAACTCTGCTCCCGGTGTTATTGAAAGTCATGGAGTCAATTGTGGCAGATTATCTGATGGAACAGCTCGAACGATACAACATCCTTTCGACAGATCAAAACAGATTCAGGCAAAAGTGACCCTGCTCCACCAACCTATTTCTTGTTCGAAATGAATGAACTATAACAATCGACGCAGGGGATGCGGTGGATCTGAGTTATCTCGACTTTTCGAAAGCATTTGATCGGGTGAATCACCGAATATTGTTACAGAAGCTCTACAATTACGGCGCTCGAGATTTCATGTTTTATTGGATTAGAGTATTCCTCCAACAACGGACAATATCAGCTTGTGTTTCTGATTTGACATCCGAATTTATCAATGTTCCACGAGGGTCCGTACTCGATCCCGTCTGTTCCTCGCATTCATAAATGATCAATGTTTACAGACGACGCCAAAATTTGGAATACAGTAACAGAACCTGAGGGCTCTTCAACACTTCAAGAATCACTTGACGCAGCTTATCAATGATCTAAGAACGACATTGAATTCACTGTTTCTAAATGTAAAGTCCTATTCCTACGCCATAAGAGAAGATTCTTGTATTTCCTCGAAAATCAGCAACTAACACATAATACTTGTTGCAGCTGCTCATGTTATCGAACAATGTACACCTTAGGGGGCACCATTAAAAGTTAGTGGTTCCAAAGTGTCGACTGGAATGCCGGTGCCAATATTTTGCAGTCAGAGTATTCACTACTTAGAACTCCTTTCCATCTCACGTCGTTTGTGCACCAACTATTGAATCTTTCAAGCGGAAACTCGATGAAACCTTGGCACACCTCACATTCGTATACCATTAAAGAGAACGCAAATCCATTGAAGCTAATTTTATCTGTAAACTCCTACCTAGAAGTGTGTGATTTTTTCGCCTTGAAACAATTCCTATAAAACTTTGGCTTTGAACTGTCATATACACCACATTTGATCTCATGAAATGGAACTATTCCTGAATCTTCGTCTCCTCCAACGCACTACGAATGATACCAACTGTTCAACTTCAACTCCCAGTTAGCACTAAGTATGTAGACTTGCTAATAATAAACTTACAGAGTGACTCAAAAATAAATAATTTTACGCCGGGTGCACAAAAAGTGTCATTAAAACAAGAGCTACAGAAAAAAGAAGCATCTCGAATAAAGGGAGTCAACGTTATGTGAACTATGAGCAAACAAAATGGTCAAAACATCGCTCCCCCCACAAAACATCGAACAGATAAATTGGTTTGAGGAATCCGATGAAAGCCCGAACACTCCAAAACCACTGCATATTGTATTAACGCAGAGAATAAGTTAAAGTTACTTTTTGGACAACTGAGTTCTTAAATGGTTGGTTAATCATGGAAAAACAATGGTACAGAGATGAAAGCTTCAGACATTATAGTTTACCATCATAAGAAAACCTTGAGTCTGCTTTAAAAACGGATTAAGTCAAAACAAGTAAATCGTACTGGTGCATTCGGAAGTAAAAAATGCGACAATTGGACAACACAAATCAAAAATTTGAAAGTACCAAACATAGAGAATGGTTAAGGATTTGAGCAAGTAAACAAAACAGATTTGATATATCATGAACACAATATACAAGTTACATTGATCAATACACTTACCCGTAATACGCTTGACGTTTCCAACATCTCTGCTAGAAATGTCGACACACCACGCATTTGACAGTCAGCAGCCCCAACACGCGCCATGATTGCATCTAAAGGGATCAGTTCCGCAAAATCGCATGGAACAAAGCTACCAATTTGAGCCATGGCAGCAATCACACCTATCTGAGTTTAGCAAAAGATAAGACCATACACAAACATATGACATCGGATTACAGCAAAAACAAAACGAAGTAAAACAAACGAATCAAGTGAAACATTCGCCTGTGGCTATTATCGGCGATTAACAACACGTAACAATATATAAATTGTCCTGCCGCAGAACATGTCATTTAGCATTTAGAGATTACCTAATCAATTGTTAGGCAAGGGAGAAAACAAAACCAGTCACTTTAGGAAATCCTTCCCAAAGCACGGTGTATCGCGAGGTAGAGATTACCGAACAGTGTGTCGCGAACATGTCAGCTTTGATTCCAAACTAATGGAATACGATTGCTAATATAAAAGTCGAAAGCATGAAAAGAAACAAGTATCAATTATTGAATCAGCTCCGGCGGCTTTTCGAGCTAGACGCTGATGGGAAAACGTTTTTGAGTAAAAAACCGTTGGGTGTAAATGATATCCAAAGCCTAGGAACAGTTGAGCTAAATACAGTTGTCTATGTATTCAGATAACGGCAAGCAAGCAAACCAGTGGACCTAGTCACACCGGAAAAGCGTTTGACGTCAATTAAGAGGGACGTGTGGAGAACAGATACGATTTTAAACGGCAAACAAAGTGAGATGATTCACTCGGCAATTGAATACAGACAGGACCATCAATCGGTAATTCAGGAACAGCTTGTGAGAAAACAATTGTTTCCTATTGGTTCAGTCCATTTCAAATGCAAGTTAATATGAAGTCCATCAACTAATAGAGTCTTCCAGAATTAATGTAATACGCCGTCTACCACTGACTGAAGGATTTAGGAAACCAACCGAAAACAACCCGTGCTGGATTGATTGTAACCGGTGAAAATAAAAACTGTAGGTGTTGCTTGTGACTACAATCAAAGAAATTTGAGAAAAAAGATAATTCAGATTGAATTCCTAACCAGAATTTTACTCGCGATTACTTTAATACCGTCTTCTTGTAAACTAGTTCCGGTAGAACACAGGTTGGAAACCTGTCGATCCCTATTTGGCTCAAACCATTCGTGCTCTCATCGTTGAAGAAGACAAGAAAATCGATTATAAGTTTATCTGTGATTTGTAAAGACTAAAGAGAAAATCCTTAGAAAACATCGTTTCACCCCTCGACTTACTAGGCTCAGGATAACCAGTTATGCTTATTGACCTCTTTCACAAGATATCGTATTTACAAGCTGAACCTAATCAACATTCCTCACGGACTATATCAATAAATAATGAAACTAACAGTCTCTATTTTTTGGCCAAAGCAAAGGCGACGCAAGATAGATTCGAAAAGTCTATATCCGTCACTTGAAGTACACAACAATCACTGAGATTATGGATTGATGCGAAAGAATATGTTTAAAGGTCCTAGCCGGATCAACTGTTTCATGATATTTGAGACATTGGGATTCTATGCAGTTTATTACGGTATATCAGCTGTTACAAATCTATTTATCCTTCCACATGTAATAGATTTTAGTGAGTTACAGGGAACTAAATCTTTTGTGCAAATATGAGGAAATGTGAATGCGGTAGAAGTTTGCAATGACCACAGTTTAGATGCTATTTGGTTCGAATGCCCTGGTTAAACTAATTTATTTTATTATGTGTAAATCGCATTCATAAACGCTGTCAAAGTGAGTAGAAAAATCGATCAGAACTGACATGTTTTCAGATAACGGCGAATAATCCAACGGAACAGACAGCTACCAAAAATGTCGTGATACTTCTAAAGCAATTTTAAGCCAAAGTAAAAATTGGTCAGTGGGTCATCAGAACCACCTTGGTGGACACCATAAAACTTACACTGCGAATGTAAGTGGACTTGCCTCCCATATTGGGACCGGTTATCACTTGGAAAATCTGTTTTCCTGCAATGTGGTGAAAAGTAGCAAGTGAGATCGCGTATAAAAGGAACCATGTGATAAACAACGATACTGAAGTATGTTCCGTCTGGAGGATATAGCGTCAGAGTTGAACTCTAATGTCAATGTATTTGACACTGTACTACTCCATACATTTATATCGGTGATTGAGGTACAAAACGGAACGAAACAATTAGTTGATCAAGATAATTCTTTTTGCTTGCTTCACAGGATACATTTTGATATGATTGTGCGTAAGTTTATTGTAATTTTTCCTACCTAATAGGCAACCGTCACTAACAATAATAGAATGAAAGTCAACAAAATATATGGTGCATGTTTAAGCTATCTTTTAGACGCATCGTAAGAAGGTGAATGTCCAGTTTCTATTTTTGAAACACCCCAAATGGCGTATCTGATAGCATCCAGATAAAATGCTGGTGACTGAGTGTAAACCATTTCATTTGTTAGATGAGTGGAAAACGATTGCATTTCCATTAACCGGGTGAGTCGAAATGCGCAGATCAAACTGGCGATTTGATGTGCTACGACGACAGACCTAGACCGTCAATCGTCCATCGTACACCTTTACGAGCAATAAATACGCAACACGATTGTACTTCGGGTATTGATAGCTGCTTTCTCGCTATCTCTGCCAAATCGAGAGCAAAGTATAAGGCATTTAAAAATAGAATTAGACGGCTATAAATAAATACCAAAAATGAATCAATTCGACTTCGAATGCATCCGTAAAATAACGGAGTGAACACCAGAGAACACGGTGCAGTAACATTCAAAAATATATAATATATATCATAATAACTGATATGAACAAAACATTAAACAAAAGCAACGATTTTTTGGTATTAATCAGTGTGGAAAAAATTCGGGAACTAGGATTACAAATCACCTCGCTCTAAATGAACATCGTTGGCTATAACAGAGACAGATTCTTGCATCTCCAGGCACGGATGTCTAGCCTGTTTGAATACTATTCGTCCGGCTGACCGTGGCAAGATACGGGGTCGAACGTATTGTTGACCTGGTGCCGACACAGCAGCGACGGCCAGACCGACTAGGACATCCAACAGCGCAGTTATACTGTTCAGTTCAAGCAAGGGTTCCACATAACCAGCTGAAATAAAGGTGAAACGGGTTATCAGCAGATATCAAGTTGAACAAAAAGAACATTGAGATTATTTCACATGATACATCGAGAAGCGAATGAGGGAGTACCTTGTACCTTATCTGGTTCGACGTAGACAATGTGCTACGCTTTAATTGAGGACATCCGCTAAGAAACGTTTAATTACCCGTGCAAGTTACCACCAGCGATGATAAGGCGTTTGCATGCCACTTTCTTAGCCCGGGAAGTAAGTCAGTAAGTGGTAAACAAACGCAACTGCAACGATTTTCTTACAAAAATAAGTCACCCCTTCAAGAATTTGAGTTGAAGGGAACAACAACAACATCGTAAATCATCAAGCCTAGAGATGTGCTCCTGAGTACCGATTTGCTAGGACGAAGAACAGCTTCTTCAGAGTTGAGTCAACTGTTCGGGTAGGATCGTGAGGGGAAATAGGGAAACACGGAACGTTCATGAACCATGTCGGAATCGATGAAAAAAGGCAATACGGAGTTTAACTCGATTGAATACAATTGTATTAATCAACACCAGTCAAGCCGAAAGAATCTAAAAGATTGCATACCAAAATTTTCCTCCAATTTCGTAAAACACCATCGTATTTTAAAAGCTTGATTCCCATGATAGCCTTGAGAAAACGAGTGGATGAGCGAAAATTTGTCATATATATATGAGAGCTCTCCAAATTTAGCAGGTCACAGCTGTACAATAAAGTACAAGCACCTATTCACCTCTATGCCACCCATCGACAATTAAGTCCATAAAGCCGCTGCCTACATTTAGTGGAATTTCCTGAAGAAAGTAACTAAACAATTACGTCGAAAATACCATGTCACAAATAATAAGGAACTTTTCCTCCCGTTGGTAAAAGTACTAAACATCGATACGACCAACGTCAAAGGAACATGAACATAAAGAATGCTTACATGCAATACGGACAACCTCATCTACAATGCTTCGTTGGGCATCCTCGTACTCCTGCTTTGTTTCCATGTGACTGTCATTCAACTTAGACATGGCCGCATTGCGAAAACGCACGCCGGCTTTTTGTGTGTCCAGGATTTCGAACGATTTGAATTCGCGTAGGATTTTCTCGTCCTATTTCACGATTTTAGAGAACGGAGAAAAGTGGATGAAACAGTTGGAACAGAACACCTTCGCATAGTGCAAACAACTGAGACCAGCCACATAAAAAACCTGACCAGCAGCCTACATCAAGGAGAAATGTAACATCAATTTCGATGACCAGGCTGTTACCAAACAAAAGTTACCGCTTAGAAAACCAACAACTGCAGTAACAAAAACAGCGAGTGAGAACTGGCTTTTGGGTGAACTATTGAGAATTTCCGAGAACCAACAAATTGAGAGGATAGCAGAGGGTCTTTAGGATGCATGAGGCAACGGAAGGTTGGCGGCGGATAATGAAACATTTGTACGCGGGTTGAGAAGAACCTAGTGAAATCCACATTATCAAACAGGTGGCCAAAGCAAAAACAACAGCGACAACCACACGACATAACGCCTAGTAATCGCATTTAAACCAGCTTATTCAGACGGCAAATTCCACATCTTGCAAAGGTGTGATTAACCGAAAGGGATCAAATATTTGATTTCAATGCACAAATTTGGTTATAGCCTGCGAGTTTCTTTTCAGGAAGAATGATTCGAACAGGTTGAAATTTCCATTAGTAAATCTGACTTCCCAACACATTGCTCGCAATAGCACGGCGTTTGAAACGGGATTGCAACTGTTAGATTTTTTCTGTCATATATATATATATATATCATAATAAGTAGAATGTGAATGACTGGACAAAATTTCCCTAGAAGCACACGAACGGTTTCGCGGTTAATTACGCTCGTCAGGCATGCGTATTCAGGAATCTTTTGTTCGTTCATTCAAATACTGGTCCTCAGGACATGTATTTTCGTCTCAATAACCTTGTTTGCAACACAGGGTGCCAGTCCATTGAAGAATCAAGGCTAAAAAGGTTATTGCGACGAGAATACATTTCCCGGGTACAAGTACATGAATGAACGGACAAAAGATTACTGGATACGCATGCCTGATGAGCAGCAAGAACCGCGAAACCGTTCGCGTGCTTCCAGGGAAATTTTGTCCAGTCATTCACACACTACTTATTA